CAGTTGTTAATCGGGGACCTTCTGACAATCAGGGACCTTATTGTCCTCTGTTGTTCAGGGTCCCCAATTGAATGCAGAAACAAACTCACACACCCATACCTGTTTTATGTACAAAGTGTGGACATTCCTTTGTTCTCCTGTGGTTAAGGAAACTTGGGGAAAATTCTCTTTTTTCTCCCACGAGGATAACTCCTTCAAGCTGGATTTTTGATGATGATTTCCTGGACTGTTCCTTTCCATTTTGCAACCCTGACCCCAAAATGCCTTTGAAGCTGTTTTTCAGAGAAGGGAAAACATTGTGTGGACGTGTGCAAGTCCACACAATGCCGTCACATCCTGCATTATGTGGACTTCTTTTGTGCAGAGGTCCACACTATGTGTGCCAAGCCTACACACCTACAGGTATATTCACCCCCTTTTAAAGGACTACATGTACAGGTACCAGATACATGTACAATGTACATGCAGTTTGGTAATCTGATGCTTGTATCCTTTGTGGTATGAACATCGACTTGCCTTGTGAAGAAATCTTTCCCGAGTGGATAATCAAGTCTCAGTGAAACCATGAACTGGCTCTCGGTGGTACCTGAGTGCGGTCCTTTGGCACAAAGTTCTCAGAACCTTGGAATATTGGTACTCAAGATTTGTAACTGTAACAATCTGTAACAAATCAAAAGGGTATCCGGGAGCGATTTTCCTCAACTCCACAAGTAAACTAGTGGAGAACATGGTTTAGTGGGCTTGTACTTTGTCAAAAAGAGGCCATGCTGGATGCATCGATAAGATGTGTTTAGTAACTGTCATCATTGGATGAGGGCTTGGGCTTGGACTTGGTTACCGCAGGACCAGATGACTCACCTGAAATTCATGGACTCGTGGCCATCGCCATGGTTATCTGATAATATTAATCACAGGTACTTCCTGCTCAGGTGCTGGAAATTGAAAGCAGACTGGGACGGATAATCCAATTTCATGCCGGGGGGGGAGAGATGGCACTATGCAGGGGAATCCCAAAGTGACTGGACAGCTTCATTGTGGACAAGCTTTACGCAGACGACTGTGGGAGTGTTGTTGAAATCTGCAGAGGGGTGTTCTAAAATACATGTACTGCCTAGGATCAAATACATGTACTGCCTAGGATCATAACTTCAAGAAGATGGAAGGGGTTGCAGGTCCAGTGTGTAGAAATCCGCACTGTTTCCTTAGAAAATCAAACATTGGAGTACATAAGGCTTCATGTTGCGATATGTACATGTACTTTAGGCCTAATTTTATTGGAACTTGAAAGCATAAAATATTGCTTAAGTATACATGTACATGTAGCAAGTGTTAAGTAAAACTCAAAAGCCAGTAGGGAAATGATCCAACAAACTTGCTTTGAAATGGGCACCATTCAGCTCCTTATCTTCTGCCCACCTTCAAAAAAACTAACAGTAAAGTTGATTTTCTGGACCCTTTGCAGATATCCTCTATTTTGAATTCAACTCTTCCACTGTCCAAAAAGCCAGTGATATGTTCTTTGTATCCTTGTATTTAGACATCATATGCATGAGAAAGTCTAACTGGTGGAACTGTGCAATGCGTATTTCCCAATCGTCCTTTATCAAACCCTCCTAATCCTTCCTTTGGTATTTAGATATAAATTCTGCATAAATTCAGCACCTACATGTAGTTATGCAAACTGTCAGGTGGACGTATCAAATCTCTTATTCCAAACCTGTTATTATCCACTCCAGGTTTAGCTTGATTTAGTTACATTCTTGACTTCAGTGCAAACCAATGACTGGGAGTCAAACTTGGTTAAAGAATGAGCAGTGGTTTAACCTGGTGTTCAAGTTTGGAGAATCCTGGAGTGAAGTCCTCAGCCGTACGAAGGAGCACCAACAAGACAAAACCAGACTTCTACAAGCTTCGCTTTCTCCGTCAGCCAGTGCAGAAATCCCAAGTGCTGAATACCACTGTGCCGTTTCAATATTTATTCTGGTTTCTATTTTCAGCAATGCTCCAAATGCCTTCATAACTTCTGCTGGATGTGTTTAGGAGGTAAGCACCGATTGTCATCAACTCCTGTCTGAAGGACACACTGATTCTCTCTGTGCATTTAAACATGTTTGATACATGTCCATGCATATCCATAATTTTTAATGAGATAGAAAAACCTGTAATCTGCACCTGGTTGAGACCTTTAGCAACCATGGTTGAAATCTTAACCATGTTTGAACCTTGGAAACCCAGACACATCTCTGAAGACATGGGGGGGGGAACTCATACACTGACAGGTTGGAAAGTTTGCATGCTGCAGCAAGAGAGATGCTCCCAAAGCCTTGGGTTCCCCTTTTACAAACAAACAGGCCTAAGGGATGTTTAATGGGAATGTTCTTTATTGTGAATTTTACCTTCAGATTGGAAAACCCACGGCAGTGAATATTATGAATGCAGTCGCTACAAGGAGAATCCCAACATTGCCAGCGAGTCGGCCAACGTCAAGGCCCGGGAAGCCCTCAAGAAGTATCTCTTCTATTTTGAGAGGGTAAGCTTGGTAGGGGCGGAGTCAGAAGCAGTGAGTGGGTGTTAAGGACTGTTGAACAAGGGTGGGCTACAGTTGCTAACTAAGGCCAACAAAAAAATACTTGATCTCTGGTCAGACCAAAGTTCCAGAATTGATACGGCAATGCAAGTTTTTTGGGGGGGTGAGGTTGGTTTTTTAAGACTGGCAACGGACCCGGAAATGAGTGGCTTATATATTTAATCAAAGTGCTATCAAGAATGTTCAGCACATCAATTTGCTAAGCAGTAAAGCTTTCTGCTTGGGAGCTGTTAATTAGGCTCTTGATTTGTTGCGTCTGTTCTTCATGCAGTGGGACAACCACGCCAAGAGCCTGCGCCTGGAGAAAGAGACCCTGAGGAAATCCCAGGAGAGGATCCAGGAGAAGGTTGAGAACAAGATGGGGACGTGGATTGACTGGCAGTACCTGCTGGCTGCCGCATCACTACTTGCCAAGGTCTGTGCCACCACGGAGCAAGTCTCCCTTCCATCATGTTACCCATTTTGTTCCCTTTTTTGTAGGAATTGAAAGTACTAAAACTCTTGAAATGATACAACCATCTTTCAGGGGAGGCAGTAAGCAAAAACAAATGGACTGCCATCAGAAACAAACTCCCGTTTTTGTTCCCCCCGACCCCAAACCTTGATGTCCATTTAATTACAGCTACATGTAGGGATGATTCGATTGCAATCAGGTGCTTATCCCCCTCGAGGTCAAGTACCCGACAGCACTCTGCTTACTCTTAAAATGCATGAAGTCAGATGTGACACATTTTGCCATTGCTCAGAGTTTGCTGTTGCAGAGGGCTCCACACTACACTGCAGCACTACACTCTGGAAAATATAGTAATCCAGCCATTATGTGGACAGCATTTATGAATGGAAAAATCAATGTGTCAATGTTAATAATAATATCTCATTCCTGTTTGCAGCTGGTTTGAGAAAAGGAGTTCTTTCAGTTGTCAAAAATGTTTTAGGTGTTAAAAGTTAAAAACCAAAGAAATGTAACTAGGGATGTACCATTTGCTGGTGGGTATCAGGTAGTTTGGTACTTGCCATAGGTCTAATTGTAGCTTTACATCAGTAACTAGGCTTTGTCTTTCAGTTTACAGGGAATACCCAACGAGGGGAAAAACATCATTTGCATTCAAACGTCAGTGGGGCCAGTCCTTGTTCATAATATGTATGTCAAACAGATAGGATTTTAAATGTTGAACAACTCTTGAGTTGTTGGTGATGTTTCTCTCCCTGTACAGTGTCGCTACACGTTGCAGTATACCTACCCCTTTGCTTACTACCTTGAACCAAGCCCTCGCAAGAAGCTCTTCGAGTACCAGCAAGCCCAACTAGAAGCGGAGATCGAGAACTTGTCCTGGAAAGTAGAGAGAGCTGCCAGTTACGATAGAGGGGTAAGCAGCAGTGCTATTTTCCAGCTGAAACTCTTCAAACCAGGGCCCAATGTCAAGACTGTGTGATGGCTGGAGAATCTTGACAAACCATCCACTCTGTGTAAAAGCTCACCAGGAAAGGAGAGAGAGGCTCGTCTGGACTCTTGCAACCAAGGCACGGCTCTTATGCGAAGGGGAAGACTATGTCTTCCAATGGAAATTGATTACCCCTGCTGAGCTTGGCTCTAGCCAAGCATGCCTGAGCCTGTGTGCACATGCAGCATTTGCACCACTAAAGGGACCCAATAGCTTCGTAAAAAAACATGCCACCTCTTGTTCAGCCATTGAATAGATGGGTCATTCTATAAATTTGGGGTCCCAAAGTGTGACATTTTTGGTGTCCCTGTTACACCTGACCTGTGGAAATTGACATGGAAATATCATTGAATTGACATTAAAGTGCATTTATCTGTTCGGCAGGTGTTTTTCGTTAGTCACTCTTAGAAATTAAAGACTATGTTCTAACTTGCAAAAGTCTTTTTTAGATGTTACATGGACACAAAACAATTGGACACCAAATTTACAGAATGACCCAGCTGGCATTAGATAGTAAATTCTGCTGTGATCGATCATTTGTAGCGATAAGCACTCTCTGCCTAAATCTTTTGTACTGGTGCTGCAAGCACATGGTGGAAATCACCTGCGGAAAATTCCCATAGTCCAGAAAATCATGAAAATGAGCCCAGATCCTGCTCTCTGGTGTGAGGTTTTTTTGTGAACTGTCTTCATCGACCAACTTCCTTCCCGCACCTCCATTGTGTCTCTACTCTAGACCCACTACTTCAATTTACCCCAGACTCAAAGATGCAAAGTCTGTCCCGAGTCACTGTGGCAGATCAGACTCTATCCTAAGTTTCCTTGGCATGAAATGTACAAGGTTATTTCTGCCCCCCCCACCCCTATGGGATGTCAAGTCCATTGCAGGCTGCTCCCAGCTAGAATCCATTTATACTCCTAGCTGGAGGGAGGAAAAGAGGGAAGAAATGACCTGCCCAAGGCCACAACTGCAGTCAGCAACTCAGAAGTACAGATTTTAATTTTTCTTATTTTGTTCCATTAGGACCTTGAGAATCAGATGAGCGTCGCAGAGAAAAGACGACAGACCATGCTCAAAGACTTCTTCCCAGCGTAGACGGTTGCTCTCCGCTGCCCTCCAAGAGACACAGTGTAAGGAGCCAGGGCAAATGCCCAAGTAGCTGCTATGCATGAAGTGTTGCCAGTGATCTGACCAGGGTCCAAATTGCCATGGGGTTAACAGGGGTGAGTTTTTATCATGAGGGGTCACTCCATGAGTTTTATCTGTTTTTCTAAATTCAGAACGGGAGGGGGGGGGAATGGGGCGATGCAGGGAAGGGAACCTACTGGCTTCAAGTGGGCTCATCCTGTCCTTGGATATGCCACTGCAAACTGGATAGCAAACTGGTTACTTCCAAGGCTCAAGTTGAAACTTACACATGTACATAGGTGATGTTAGGCTGGAACTCAGGTTAACTTGTAAATTTTTCATAACTGTCAGTTTTGCGGCCTGAGATTGGTGGAGATACATGTACTTGGAAAACTGCCTTGGCAAAAGGGTAAAGTGAATTTGTTACCTCCTACATTTCCTCAATCAAGCTTTATGTTCTCGGCCAGTTATTTTTGGCCCAGGGGGACGTATTGTCTTCCAGCAATGTGATTTCCCATTTGTATCCTGTATTGCCAACAACCCCGACGGGCATTTTAAAAGGAAACTTCGAGTACACACTTGAAATTCAATAGTGTGAGGTAACTTTCAACCATGAATTTTATAAAACCTAAATCAAATCAGGACATCAGTTCCAGTTGAAATGCTGGAAATTACTATATCAAAGGAAAGCCAGTCATCAGGAATTTGGCAGACTTAGAGTTCACACCTTTAAAAATATAACCAATGCAGTAAACGAAATACATGCCTATGATATATGTCTGTGATAATATTCACCAAATTTGATTTTGTTTATTCAAGTAAACCATCCAAATAAACTGACTAGGGCCTGGCATATTGGTGAAAAGAGGAATTGATTGGAGTGAGATTTGAACCGGTTACCATCGGGCCACTCTGCCTGTGTCCTGTCAACAGGGTCAAGTTGGATGAGTTACTACCGGTTAAACCTGCCTGGTACCCAGGATTCGTTATGCACATAGGTTACTTAGGGAAAATTTACCAGTGGTCAATAAAGGGTAGCTTGGTCGTAGCTTTGTTAGAAAGACCTATTGATGGTTGGGTAAAAACAAAACATGCCTGATTTTTCTTTTGATGAGTATAATTTGGGCCTACGACAAAATAATGGGCTCGGACAATCCCACAGATTTTTTTATTAACTATGTTTCATAGCCATTAATTTGAATAAAGGTGGATTTTTGTGAAGTTGGTCACAGTTTATGTCACATTTGGTGCATTCCAAAATGGTTATACTTATGTTAGTAACCCAATTAACTTACTAGTACTTACATTCATGTATATGTTAGGATAAAATATTGCCTACCATTTTCAAACCTTGTGGACTGGGTCACTGTGCACATTCCAATGACCTGCTCCTCTCTGGCACCACATTGAGTGTTCCAGCCATACGCGTCATATATGCAGGTGCACACGTGTCAGACTTTATTGGTTATGGCTCTATACAGCAGGGATTAACCCTGGATCAGTCTGTTTCATAATGCCATACTTCGCAAGGCGCAGTTTGTTTCAAGCTTAAAACAATTTTTAAGCAGATGATCAGCCTGCTCATCAAGCAGTGCATCCTTTGCTTCCAAAGTGAAGAAGCCATTTCCAGGACTCCTATAGGCATCCTTCAAATAAGGCAGATCCAGAACCTTTCTGGAGGACCTACAGATGGCATCTCTGCATGCATTCTTTCTGGTCTTCTGAAGAGTGGGGAGGGGCAATTTTTTGGTGTTGTACAACAGGAATGGAAACTGTGTGATAGTTCCCAAAAGTGGTATTTGTCTCTTGGTATAAAAAAAATGCACACATCAAAATGTCCCTCATTTTGGGGGGTGGGTGGGCTGTGGCTGTGTATTGTGCAACCCCCCCCTTCAACAGTGACCTTGCTTCAGACAAACATGGTTCGTGTGTTACGTAGCTTGTGATGATTATTTGCAGACTTTGGATGAGATGGTACATTTCATAGTGCTCTTGGAATAGAATCTGGAATTCCACTGGATGGTTGTAGCAAACAGAGTTTATTTACTAGTAGAACTCTGTGGGTTTGGGTGAATATGCCCATAAATTTCAGTTTTTCCCCTTCGAAATTCGAAAGATCATGGGTAACTGCATAACTCATTCTTCACATTTCATTAGAATGACATGATTTGTGATGTGTCGAAAATCGGTTCTGCTCCTAATGTACTGCCAGCCAATATCCATATACATGTAAAGGAATGTTCTGTTTAAGGCTCGGGACTGGATAGTCTTTAAGAAAGTTTGCTTTTTTGAAAGATCTTTGGACTAACGTATTTCCAAATACATTAAAGAGCAACGAATTTCTGGGCTGAGGAAATGCAGATAGACTGGTCCCCGTTCCTGTTATAATATGGACGTACCAGTATATCTGGCTGGCTTTTGGTATCTGTGGTTGGTTAAGTTCTGCACATGCACAATTGCATTTTCTATTTATAGAGATGATGTTGACATAAAACCTTTCGTTCGCGCGCGTGACAGCCGAACTTCAGAAAAGTTATTCCCCTACAATAATACCTTTGAGAGTGTGTTGCAAGTGGAAACGACTCAGTAGAGTGAGTGTTAATCCATTCTAAAAGTCTCACAATGTTCTGTCACCTGACAGTGTTGCATTGTGGGACTGATATATGCTAATTATCTCATTAACACAAACCCAGTAGGATTCCTCCGGAATCATTACCCGCTACCGGTCCGTAGGTTTGGAGGATGTCTGTAAGACGTTTGGAGACTACGCACGGGACGGGAACCAGTCTATTACACGTATACATGTGCTTGACTAGAATGATATGTGAAAGGCTTGTATTTGGAGGAAAGTTCATAGTTCCTCAACATATTGTAATGAGGATTGACTACATTGATTAAGCTCAGAACTGCGCTAAAAATGAATTTAAATGCGTCTCTTTGCAAATTGCTCGGTTGCAGAGATTCTTTGCACACAAATGAATTGAGGTTTTTATATTAGAAGTCTATGGGGGTTCTTCAGTTGTGGATCCAGCATTTTAAAGGGGGGTGGGGCAGAGCATTTACAGAAGGGGGGTGTGGCCCATCATGTAGGTGAAAACTTTTATTTGAGTGATTAAATAACCTGTTTAGGGAAACGAAAAGAACTAGGGAACGAGAGTAAAGGAAATGGTATGTCTTAAAAAAGAGAGGAAAAACAACTAAAATCGGGGCAGATACCCCCCCAGTCAATCTGCTACTGGCCTTCTTTGCTTTAATACTAGGAAAAGATTCAGGTAGACTTAGGATATTTATGTTTTGGGTAAAGGTTGTTAAGCAATGCTGTCCATTCCGTGTGGGTGTCTGACCTCTGTTGGTATCGGTTGAGTGATTTTGGTGAGCTTGTATGAATGTACATACTGTATTTACAACTATATAACCACTTCAATTAGAAAGCGTACATTTCACGGGATTGTATCATTTTTTTAGTAGTCTGAATTTATGGGAAATAAATTTGCATTTAACACTATGATTGTTATTGTGTTCTTGGCATTGATGGCTTATCTGGAAAATGTTCATTATCAGACTGACTCCAAAAAGTTTCAGCCAGAAAGTCTTTTGGTACTTGTTATTTGATCATGGATTTTTAAAGTTTAAACTACGGTAGATTACGTATTGATTAATGGATCCCAAGTGAAACCAGCAGATTTCATCGATTTAAAGGCCGATTCACGTCACGCGCCAAACGCAAACACGAACGCGAAATTGTGTGGTCAGATCAAACATTTGCGCTGCGAATTCGCAAAAGTCGAACACATTGCGAAATTTTGCCGCAAATCTTTCGTGACGTCAAATTCGCTTCCCCGTCGCTTGAAATATGAACTGGCTGTTATAAATTATCTGACGCAGTTTATTGCCTACATTGGGGGAGTTTTGTCATAGTCCGCGACGGATTTCATTTCTAATAGTTCTGTTTGTATCGCCATCATGTTCTGGTGTTAGCTCATAAATGATCACAGCACATCGTCTGTACGGAATCGTTACATCCAAGCTTCCCTGCACACAATTTATTGGACACAACTGACAAGCTTTGCTCTTACTCTTGTGTGAATGTGAAGTTATTACTTTGAATAACGAATTCTGGCTTCACCGTTGCCTTGTGCTCTCGGCGCTCTGCATATGAGCCCCGAGCTGGACCAAGAGTGGGAGTAATTTTCCTAGTAACGAAAGCTCCTTTGGTCGGAACTGCATTTCGCTGGTTCATGAACGACTACGAAATGCACGCGTCAGGGTCGCATCACTACCAGCAAACTGAACCCTCCCGACCAATATGGCTCTTTTCAACCAATGAAGGGGTGCTTCTGCTCATTGTCCGCAACCAATCGGTACCGTGGAGACTGTTCGCGAACGCTTTAGTACCAAAGCTAAATTAGGTAGTTGTGAAACAGTAGCAGTGGCGTAACTACGGGGGACACTTTCTTCTCCACCAGCGGATGTCCGTGCTCCCCGGGTGCCCCCTCCCCCTCATAGAATTTGAATAATCTGCGTTGAATTGTGGTGCCCCCCTTAAAAAATGTGAGTGGATTCCGCCTGCACATTTCGCCCTAGTTACGCCACTGAACAATGGGCGCGTTCGATTAGCTTACACGTGTAAGTCAAACTTACACGAGAGCGTTCGTTTAGCCATCACGTGATGTTCGTGCCTGCCCTGGTGTCAGCCACTACTACCCCAGCTGGCGAGCGGGTCTCTGGAGACTGCCCGAGTGTAATTACGTCACGGATGGACAGTTCGAGCATGGACGTACATGATGGAACGTGGCGGGGACTTGACTTTTTTCCCAGAATGCCTTGGAAAACACACTGCAGCGTTCGATAAGCCTCATTTTGAGGCTTCCCTTGAGTGTAACACTGGTGTGTTCAGGGAAGCTAATCGAACGCACCCAATGGAAATTTCCATGCACGCGCGCGCGACCATTGACACATCCACACAACGAAACTGCTCAAACGCGAGCATTATATTTTCTGCTTTTCGAGCAAACTGTTCAGTGGCAGTACTTCATTATCCACGAGCAAATTGAAGCGCCGCTTGGCTGATTTTGCCGGTGATGACGTCATCCCGGTGAGTATCCAGCGTGCTGCTGTTCGGTAGTGTTTTTCTAGTAGCACAAAACTTCCGTCAGGAAACCGCCTCGTAGGCATGTAGAGTGTGGCATGGAATTTTGACGGAACCAGTCTTTTGCAGGTCTTGCCATATACGTGGAACTCTGCAGCTCATAAACAAATAATGTAGGCTGTGTCAACCTATATTTTTTTGGCAATTTGCTCATGAATAATTTTACAAGGTATAGTATCACAAATACAGCATTCGAGTCTGGAGGCATTACTAGTCTAGCAGACCTATACCTTCGGACCATCAATTCCCGCTACTTCCTTCAAACCATGCTGATGTATTTGTTTACTATCAAATAGGGCCCTACATATACTTGGTTGAAGCAATGGACCGTTATGTTACCATTTATAATTCCTAAATAACATTTAATTCTTCAAAACGTAAAAACAAGGTTATACTAAAAACGTATCAAACTTCAAGAAATGATAAAATGTCGTTAACATATTTTTGATTTACTCTACATTATGGGGTGTATCCTCTAACTCATATCTTTAGCCGATGAGTCTAATAATAACGGCGTTTTATATATCAATACAAACTTGAATATTATCAATATAATTATGACGTCGGGTTCGTGGACGGGACCTCAACGAATGAGCCCTACAAAGGACAGAAAATTCACATTTTCCATTAAAGATATGTTAGCTTTTGTGTATGCATAATAAACTTTATTTTTTAGCGTGACAAAAGCGACAAAATGACCAAATGTGGTGGGTCCTCTGCACGAGCTCATGCATGATTATAGTTGTACCCACATGTCAGCCTCATAGGTTATGATTTAGCCCGGAGCCACTCCACCTCCGGACACTCGGACTGACTTGTCAAAACTTGCAGCCGGGATAGAAAGTGTTTATGGGCTTCGTTCAGAACCGAATAGCAAAAGTGAATTTTAATGTCCGTAGGTCAATGCCAAACGCGTAAAAAAGGCCTCATCTCATCGGCCAATCGCGATTTGCCAAAATTCACGCACGATTCAACATCCTAGTCGTGCGTGAAGTGTGGCGCCGTCGCAGTGACTGTGTCTGATCGGTTGTGTCTTCTGGCCGAGTAAGCTGCTGCACAAAAAAGCTCCCGAGTCCGTGAGTTGCCATTGAGGTACACCTCCTGAAATCTCATGGTGCTTGGAACTGTGCTAGCGGAAATCTAGGCTTTTTTATTGGGCTTCGGCCGTTCCAACTTGCTTGGGGGAATTGAGCGGGTACCACGATGTTGAGCATTGAACTTGGTTCACTTTGGCAAGGTCATACAGAGCAAACGAATAACAAGATTCCACTCAGCCTGAAAGGTGTCAAACCGAGACAGCAAACATGCGAATAATAAATTCTCTTATACTAATTTATAGTAGTTTTATATTTTTAAAATAAACCACATCTTTTACTGGCAGCATAAGGGATTAATTCTAAGTGTCAACAAGAAGGTTTTAATCATACCATTTACATCTAGTTGCCACGCAGACAAATTAATAAAACTGTTTTCATTGTCAAGCCCAAATTATGCAATATTTAATTGGTATATTAAAATATCAAATCTCTGCTCGATTATATGTATTGCTACAATTCATAATTCATCTCTTACATGAAGACCCATACGAAGAAGAGAGGCACTTTCTTATTAAGCAACAGCCACAGACGGAATTAAGACAATTGAGACACTTTTCGGGAAAATGTTTCCAAGGGGTAAACGTTTGCATGAGAATCCCTCCAACTTTGAGGAGAAGGCCGAAGTTGTAAAGCGCGATAGTTAAACAGAAGTTAACAGCTACTTACCACCAAATTTCACAAAACAAAATGTAGAAACTACTCATCTTCCGACATTTTGACTTTCCATGTTATCTGGATACTCAAAGTTCGGTGTCAGAGTTTTTGCTGATCGTCCGTGTTGGGCTTTGTACTGTAGTGCTCACTGATGGAAGAGAGGCGTTGTCTCTTCCAGGATGAGTTAGGCAGCGGAATGCCTCGATGAAGGCAACTCGGTACTGTTTGTTAATGGCACCGTAAATCAGTGGATTAATCATCCCGTTGATGTACTGAGGGACTTGGGATACCAAATCTGCACTGGTTCCTAATGCGGCATATATGGGATCGGGAATGTTAGCCATCCAACAGATCCAGGCACTTAGGGTGATGATACGATACGGGACTTGGCATAAAAAGAACACCGTGCCATTAACAATTAGCATTTTGGCAACTTGGTTTCGGATGTGAGCAGCATTTGGATCGTTTCTGGTAACACTGCTTTCATCTCCGCGCTTGTTGAGTGCCTGTAAGATCCGTACATACATGTAAATGCTGGACAGCATGCATATTATCCAAGGCAGATTCATCAGCGGTGGGACACACTTGTACAGCCAAGGAGTTATCGCAGCGTGAGTTACAATCGTCGATGGAAATTCTTGGTACGTGTCATCCTCAGGCCATTGCAAACACATTACTATGAAAACTGCCATCGTTAACGAGATTGGAATAGCGAAGAGAAATGCCAACAGCCAGCAGATCGCAATCATTTTGTAGGTTCGACTTCGCCCTCGCATTCTGAGATGTTTCATGGGATGGCAGAGGGCGAGGTATCGCTCCAAGGAAACTATGGTAACCAGATTGATGGAGCTATAGTAGCCTGTGTTAGCAATAGTGATGTACGCGAGGAACGGGGCAGCGTGAGAAAATGGAATGTTAAACACTACCCGGGAAGCGGAGTAGGACCACAGACGATATACAGAAGCCAAGCAAAGATAGAGGAGGTCGGCAATCGTCAAATGTACCAAGTATAAGTTAGTCTCCGATCTCATTCTGGGAACTCTGAAGAAGACGAGCAGAAACGTCGAGTTGGTGACAATACCAAGACACCAGATAATAGGTATGAATACAGCTATCATGTACGTGTCCGTGAGATTATATGTCCAGGCAGAAACTGCATTCCGTGTAATATTGACTTGTTCTGCGCACTCACCTGACGGTACAGCTGATCCCATGTTGATGGACCGGTTTCGTATTTGGGAACCTTTTGTGTGTGAGAATGTTCACCGAAGCCGAGGAGTAAGAAATACAAAGAGACCTTTAGCGATAAACTGTGTATTGTTTTACATTTCCATCGGACGATAAGCTTTTATATAAGCTCAGAAGATCAATGTACTTGTTTGCCAAGGTCAAGAGAGTATTTAGCACTGAAAGCTCATTCCAGCAAGCCCAGGGACGCACTTGACCCCTGCTGCTCTTCATTGCCAAAGCTGGTGGTAAATGCTGGTACATACATTCATCAATTTCGAGGTCACCCCCCCCGCGCCAGCTTGCTTGGTAAAAAGAGTGGGTACCACGATGTTTAAAATCTAGACATCTTTGTTCTGGTAAAGTTACGTCAGATGATTGATGATCATACCACTCAGCCTTCAGGGTGCAAACAGCAGAAAGTAAATAAAGTCTGTGTCAAATGTCGTGCTTCTGCTGCGTCGAATGCAACATATTTAAGTGCAGCAAATGTGCTAGGATCTGTACCGGTGCCATACGTCGAATGTAATTATCAAAGTGACCGCCGTATTTAATTGAAGATGACATGGTGAAGAGAGGCAGACTGGAACGCCGTTTCTATCTTCGCTAGCCTACATCGTCAATTTCATTAATTTCACAATTTCGTTCTGCAATGTCGTTATTCCATTCAGTGATTCCACCATGTAATTTGGCAATTTCACCATTCATTCTGGAAGTTTCACCATTCAATTCGACAAGTTTGTCATTACATTCGACAGTTTCGCCATTCAATCATGCCATGTGGCCTTTCCATTCAGCGACTAGTCTCTTTGGTTATATTGTTTTTCGATTCGGCTGTGCACCTTTCATTTTTGTAGAATCACTGTGGGATTCTGTGATTTCGCCGTTACGTTCTTCAGTCTCGAAATTCCGTTCAACAAATTTATGCATGTGCATCGATTTCCACCCTGTAAATTCAGTATTTTCGCTACCTAATTTGTCTGAATTTTCGTAAAAACATTTTTTCATTTGGCACAAACCTATTTTAATTGTTGAGTTCCCCCGTTTGCAAGTTTGCGTAACCGAAGGTTCGTTTCAAACTACCTTGGAAGCTTGCAATATGTTGAAATGTAAAGCCGCAAAATCACATGACGACTCGCTTTCGATTAGGCTTTCATCGCTGCAACCCGCCTCTTGCACACGAAAGTTGTGCAGAAGAAAAGAATGTCTATACAATGTGATGATCTATTTTGTAGATTTGCCATGCCATAGAAGTAACTAGCCCCTGTGAGGCATAAATCTGAACAGTCCTAACCCAAAGATCGGAGAGCAATAGCTTGAGCAAAAATTATTCCAAGGGAGCTTTTTCGGATTCATAGATATCCTGGAACTATATTTTTTTCACAATATACTAGCAAAACAGTCCTCCATACCCACCTGCAAACTAGCCTTGTAGTCTTGATGACTTACTGACATGTACGTGCTCTTGTACGACAGTCACTCGGTCGTTGAAGTTTTCATGTTGAATTCATGTTGAATTCATGTTGAATTCTTGGGATGGGCGATACGGACGGCACACCACCATCTCTCCTACTTTGGAGGTGGTGAGCAAGGGATGCATACCAAGTTGGACGTTTTTAAAGATTGTTGTGTTTGTCGAAGACAATTTAGGTACACTGTCGTTCAATCAATGTTGGACCAGCAATACCAACGCTCCCTTCGTTGTGTATAGTACCCACTACGATATCGAACATATGCCCTAACTTTCATGGCGATTGCCAAGACTTCTTCGTTCTTCGCCAGTCGTCCTTTTCGTGCCGTAATAAAGGACAGGTTAAGGTCAAGGAAAAATCCAGAGACGCTTATGGACGTTTGGCTCACCGTATAGGCAATGTGTTGGCTTTTTGCACTTCCTCGCATTCTATATGTCAATTAGACGCTTTAATTGCATATGAAACGTTTTTGACGCTACATGATACCGGTAGCAATTATAATGCCCGATGAGCATAAGAGCAAAAACTCTCGACTTCTTATTCAGACCAATCAGCAGCCATCGTGATCCTTCGTTGACAAACTCATTGATGATATATTTAGTATTAATGCGGAATGAAATATGCATAAATCGCACGTACAGTCCATGGCGAATGCATTTTGTAGATCCTTGATTTGTAAATCTAGGCTTGGGTATGCATTAAGTAACAAGAATAAACTTTACATTTTGTTTTGGGCTACTGTGATACTCGTACATGTATTTCGTTCGTATTCAACTACCAAAAATGGTGTTTTTTTATATGCGGATACAGGATCTCATTAAGCTGTGCTTTCTGATTCCATTCTTAACAGGAGTGTTTTTTCGCAGGGAGTAAACTTATTACATTCCAATTGAAGCTGTCAAAAAAGCAGCTTGCCGATATTAACGAGGAAGTTCATACAGTGCCAACAGGGGACGTTACAGCACATGACATTAATCCGAGGCTGTGTTAAACCTTGAAAGCCACTGCATCATGCCACGTGGCCCATTTTTAACCGGAAAGCGCAATCCATATGGCGATCTGACAATGAATTTCAGACCGGTAATCGAAACTGGAAGTGGGGTTAGGGGCGTGCTGCCGGTGCAGGTATGAAGCACATAATTTGTTCAACCATATGCCTCAGGAAATCACGTAGGGCCTACACGACAGAATTGTACCCAAATGCATCATAACTCCTTTTCCAATGTGACGAGCGGTACATACATCGGTGCTCAGCTGTTTCAAATGCCCACCCTGGCTACTCGTAGATAAGGCTGGGTGACGTGGTGCCTATATTTTGCTAAACTTCAGTCAAGCTTGCAAGGGAATGTATCAGCGGGAAAGTTGTTGGTGCTTTCAGAACACTGATAAATTGCCACATTCCTATCCCGTTGGATAAAAAGACAGCGAAAAAGAAATCGAAGATTAAGAGGTAGTAAGCTTGGTCAAAGTAAATTTTGGTACACGTAAGCAAAGACGACAAAGCAGAGGGGTAGGCCTCCCCCTACATGTCCAAACCCTATAGACACGCTAGACTATTGTGACCAGCACATCCCCCAGATGTCTGAAAAGAATTTTTGAGATTTTGGTAAAACAATGACCAACACAAGGGGGGTCTCTCTGTTCCATATCTTGCTTCAAATGTTGAAAGGGAAGGCATGCACCAGGTACAATGGTGACTCAGTTTGCAGTCAATTACACACTTCGCTTCAGCAAATGCTATTACAGAGACACAGGCCGGGTGGTTGCTTTTTAAGCTTCCTTTTAGAATTGTAAATCTGATCGACTATTGTGATGGAGTGGATTGTTGTCCATGATGAAGCCTTTCCGGACTTTGCTTCTGTCTAAGTCTTTAGGAAAAGCTCGCTTGCCCTCTGCTTTGAATTGTGGCGCAGCTGACAGTGCAACATTTGCATGTGCTTACGATGTGATCGACCGCCCCACACTTTCTCTCCAGAAAAAATTCAAATAAACCTGCTGGCTATTTTTAGTTAAATGAACTATTGCGCATTATCCTTTTGCGCACGTGGGGTGGTTTACCGCGACAAGAAGTAATTTTGTGACTCGCCGCACACCGGACAGAGATAGGCAGTGCGCATGCGTGTACCCACGAGTCGTTTTGGTTGGCAACCGCGGCATCCTTACAACCACACCCCTTTGGCAAGCACATGCAAGTCTGCTGTATAAACCTCCAGCTAATGTTCTATTCCTCAAAGAATGTGGCACCAGCAGCGTGCCTTCTTGGGTTATAAATAATGTGGGTCCCTGGAAGGCTAGGGTATAATACCCACGGGCCGAGCTGAGAGTTGCTTCCGCCGTGTGATGGCAACTAAGTCTATTTCCCAATGTACATGGAAGTCGTGTATGTAGGCCTTACAGGCACTGGCAGAAGGTGCAGTCCAAGCAGTAAGGACGGTTAGTTATAAGTACTTACTTCCGCGCACCACTGTAACAGCCAGAAGTAATCTCTATTAAGTGAAGAAGTATATCTGGAAAGAAAAGGAGGATTGGAACATGATACTGACTTGACTGGATTTGTGTACACTGTGTCTTCAAGAAGGTTAACTCCAAGCAATATATTCCGCTACGAGAGGCTCGATACGAGAACTTGGAAGATGTCGGGAGTGCGAGTGGTTGCTTCACGCCAAAAGTTGCCTTTCCCAACGAGGAGTGGGGTTTTGGCAACGCTGCTGGTTTGTCTTGGTTTGGCGGGACTCGCATCGACCAGACATCCACAGCAAATCCACCCGGAGGTACCTGGCGTCTGCAGAGCCATCATCAGGTGAGTAATCCAAAAACACTTCACTCCCAGACATTCCCCTCACAAAGCCTTTATACAACTCTGTAAAGGCTAGTTAGACTCAAAGGTCAGGGATGGTCTTTGGTGTGTCTTTTCTATCATCTGGAACTTATTTTTCCTTTTCACAGTCACCTTTTCACAACTCTCTGAGCTGTCTTCAAAACAGAGCGAAATTATGATTAAGATTGTATGCGATGGATTTGAGGTATTCAATTTATTGGCGGATGACATATTTTGTGTAATTCACTGGAGCGTTATCTGGTTGAGCAGATTTTTTTACTGTGGAAAAGGAAACCATGGAAGGAAACTCATAATTTAATTAGCAAAGTAGAGCCAGTTTTACCATAGTTTGTGTGGGAAAGAGAGATCTATTCGGAGGCAACAGGAGAGGGCTTTGCAATTCTGAACCGTATCACAGCCCAGCAAAATACAAGAAAGAACAAAATTGAAATATAAAGGGACTTTTGAAATCATTCCTGTTGCTGCTCAAATCACACTTGTAAGGGAAATTCTTTGGAAACAAAGGCACGCCTGTACCCCAATTGGCACAATCCCTAACACGTAATTCCTCACAAGTAATCTCAGCACAACGAATCCATTTATGGAGTGGAGACAGGTCATACTTTTATATCTCCTCAGCTGGCTGGGGTAGCTGATCCATGTCATCAAACTGCTTCGGCGTTGTTCCACAGATGTAACACTTCATAGATGATTTAATCAATGCTAGGGCATTGATCACCTTTTGGTCCACGTTGGTTTCATGTAGATCATATCTCACTTGCACTGTATGTTTTCCTCTGCTTCCGTCTCATAACCGATTTCCAAAGTTACATTTGTTGGTTCTAGTTGTACGCAACTCGACGGTTTTCTTTTTTAATTGGAGGTGAATGGGATAGCAAAATCTTGTCGAAGATGCGACTGGGTTTTGCCACAAGGCATTGTTTTGAACCTTAATTAAAGTGAAACAAGTGTAGTGCAGAATATGCTGGTATCTGATTGCTCTACTGGGGTAAACTTCTGTGTGTATTCGCTGAGACCAGACGATCCACCAAAGGCCCACTTGCTGATCAAGTTGCATAAGAATTGCTCATCTTTCTGAAAATTCTCAACAACTTCGGTGATGATCTCCTTTTTTTCCTGAATGATCCTTAGAACAATGTGATCCAGCAGATTCCCTCACATCATTGCACGGCGGACAGACGCCTGCCTTTATTCGTTTTGCTGCTGATCGTTGACTGTTTCGTCATTCCAGTTTCGATCATCAGTGACAAGGCTTCACCTGCTGTGAAAGTTTCCGGCTTTTTGACCGGCTTAGAAATTAGTTCCACATTCTAATAGGTCATGAAGGTGAAATCATTGCAAACTGAAACACATACTTTAGGTCCGGGTTTTATTTGTATGGTCCCTGTGACGCCGCATACATAAGTTGAGTTGGTTTCTTTGATGTTAAAAGCTTGGGTGCTTTTTTGCCCCGATCTTTTCGAAAGTGATTGCCAGTCCTTTGGTAGGACGCCCCACGGTCAGTTTCTGCTTCGATCATTTCTGTAAGCACTCTGGGAACACAAAAGTTCGACTTCATCGGGGAATGATACTTTGTTGTCCAACTAAACGGCATTGTTGTATAGGAATGTTTGAATCGTACGTTTGAGCCCACTTATCTCTCCCTCGATAGAGAAAATCCTTATTGCCTTGGTTTTCAGTCGACAAAGGTCCACCGACATACCAGACTCATTATCACCATGGTATTGGAATAGTAAATCCATGCATTTTTGGCACGACAGTACAATGTCAGTGGTACTTGTAGAAGAACACACTAGTTCAAACAGTTGTCGTCTTGATATTAATTCCATCTTTTCTGGTTTGAAATCAAATCATCAGCGACGTAAAGAGAACACGATGAAAGTCTTGATAAAACTTCTTTCGATTTAGGAAAATCATCACGATGATTCACAGGCAAAAACGGTCTACTGAATGGTACATGGCTGTCTGAATCCAAATGCCGCCTCGCATACAGCCTAATAATTCCCATGAGTCAGAAGTCTGGGAACTTGCATTGTAAACATTTTCAGCGCGCTTTGAAAAATTTGCAAAGTAAAACGCCACTGGAGACGCTCCGGAAACACAAAGTAATTCAAATGGCGGCAGCCAAATTTGGTATTATCATAAAGAAGACATCGTAGGGATGACGCCAGTTTAAAAATTTAAGCGGGAATTAACGGGAATTGTAATGTCCACACTTACTTAAGAAAACAGTACTTTTTCATTTTGGATGATATATATGTACCGCTTTTTTACATTGAAAAGGAATCTGTAATATTTCAAAAACCTGAAATCTCTTGATAATGGTTAAAGAAAAACAACCATATGCAATTACAGATGAATCACTTTCCCGTAAATGCCGGAACAAAAATTGAAAATGTATAGTTATTTCAGCTTTTCTGGCCCATTTCTTCATTTTCGTCGTGTTGAAAATATAAGATATATAAATATAAAATATATATTCTCAATATGTATCTGTGGGGGTCTAACCTTTCATAAAAACATCAAAAATCAGAAAAAAATTACGTACGTACATATTATGCACAGTTTAACTGCGTGCTGCACACTGTGTTGCATGAACTCCTGGTGCATATAATAGGCCTATGGTGTGTGGCCCCACCCCACCCAACTCTCACTCTGGCTTTCAATCTTTGCTTTTCACGATAAGACAACTTTTGGATTTGGTCATTTGTCCCACACCTCTACTCGCTGGCACAAAGTAAGCCACCTCCTGCTTCAATGAAGAAGGGTGGCTTTCGTGTTGACCACGAGGTTTGAGTGTTTTCTTGTTCATTCTGTTTGCTTTAAGCTTTGCACATAAATGTTGTACCAATCTGAATCCATGCAGACATTCTGTCGCATGTTCAAAAGTACCCGACAACAGTTACGCTCGAGGCATTTTCATCGTAAGTTCAATGTTTTTTTTCTATGTACTGTGTAGGCCTAACTGTTTTTAAAGCATTCCAGGCGTACGTGTATGCGCTGACCACAAACGCAATTAGCCCCATTTTAGTTCTCAGCGATTAAAAAAAAGTTCCGCACCCGTTTCCCCTGTGAACTTTGTTCAACTCAAAGTTTAATTCTCACTTCCCCGTTGCACACCGAGGCAATTCACACGAGGAAACTCTCTCCTGCACGAGCCACAGATCCCCAGGTTTCTGCGTAGGTGATTCATGCAACGCCATTATCACCCTGATGTGATTCCGACGGATGAGTTTTGTATGTATTGAGAGATGATCTCCGTAGATGATTCCAAAAATTAATGATTCATACCTGCTTGTTATCAAACTCCCCGACGTTCGGGAGCATATCTACGATTTTACTTCAAGATAGAAATGATAAAGTGGGACATAAATCGAAACATTTTGAGGCCTCTTTGAGAACGGCTGTTCACAAAAGTTTTTTAAAATTTGCCCCTGAAATACAACTTTAAATGCCTATTTTCACGCCCAGCTGCTTAGGTCCGTCTCAGGAGAGTAGCTCTCAAAAGAGCATTTTAATGAGGGGGTCAGATTAAATGTGCGAGAAAATGTTCAACATTTGTATCAAGATACGTATCTGGAAGTTATCTATCTGGAAGTTATCTACATTTTTTGAGAAAAAAGCTTGAAACAAATCAAAACAATATTTGCACTAAATACATTTTCTGGCATGATTAAGTAGTTTTCTCATTCCGATTTTGTATATTAATATTTCAATTAGAAATCACCAGCATTCAGAAGAATATTCTGCTTTGTCACAAGCTTCTGTGGGATTTCTGTTTGGTATTACGATAATCTCCTCACGGACTAGCCTTTTTGGCTCCATGCTCAGTTCTCAAATGTTGATGCTTTTCACACACCCGGGGGTTCAGGCTAATTTAATTTCTAATCGATCACAAGAAGAAGAACATGATAAGTCACTTTATGCAATAAAGTTATAGATGAAAGTCGAATGAGTCAAGCGGCACTGTAAAAAGCCCCAACAGTGCAACTGGAATTTGTACATTTGTATTAATTTCAGTTAAACTATTCCTGTGACGTAACTCCTTTGTTCAAAGTGTAGATTATTTTTACGAATCTACAGCAAACTGTAGTAACGAATCTACAAAAACTGCAGATTCGTAAGAAATCTACATTTATTGTAGATAAAGGAAAAATCACTCCGGGCACGAGAATTAATACCTCTATCACAGCTACAACGCGTATTGTTTTGTAGCATTAACTCCACGCAGTTATGTAACAGGGTCGATCTCGCAACACCGAGGTTGTCTACTCCCAGTGTGTGCGAGGTTGCACACGTCATGACACCAATCAGTTGTCAAATGACAATAGCATCGGCAACAAATAAAGCGGTATCAAAAAACATCAACTGTTCACAATTCTTCAAAGTATGATTAATCTAGCACACATGGAAAAATAACTGACTTTTGCCCACTCGGCTCGTTACTGGCATTGATTCAAATGACCCACTCTCTCGAGATCACCTTGTTATTGGCACTGGCTGTAAACATTAGGCTTATTTCATGTCGTGTTAGAGTTACAGATGCTTTGTAGCTTTGAGATTAGTGGTGCTTCTTCTGACACATCTCTTCTCCCTGTACTCTCAGAACTCAGTTTAACAAAGCCCCAAAAGAAGACTGTCTTCAGTGCCTTGGGGCGTCGCGTTGGCACGGCTGGCCATTCATCTTTCCGCTGTGGGCGGGATGTCTTCAAACCCGTATCTCCCGAGCAATATTTTGGTTTGCCTTCAGATCTCAATTGACTGTGGTGGGCCGGTTGCCGGCGCTGCTCGTGATTTGGTTTCGAAACCCCACAGAGTTTACCTAGTGGTCACGCTTTGTTTTTCAGCAGCCAGACCGTTAGCCCTTCTGTTTGGTTGACATTTGGAATGTGTTGAAATGAGGAAAAAGTTTGTCAGGGTTCAGGAAAATCTCCGAAGTTTTTATTTATAAACCACCTGAA